TCCTTCTTTCCATTGCCCTCTCCTTCCTTCCTTCCTTCCTTTTCCTTCCTTCCTTCCTTCCTTCCTTCCTTCCTCCCTCCTTTCCATTGCCCTCTCCTTCCTTCCTTTCCTTCCTTCCTTCCTCCCTTCCTCCCTCCCTCCTTCCCTCCTGCCCCTCCCTCTCACTGATGCTGACTTCTGCCTGACAGCTGAAGGGAGGGGTCTCCCTCTTTTGAAGCTGTCTGCTCACAGGGCCTGGGGGAGCCATCAAGATGGGGTGTCCAAGCAATGGTGCTGCCAGAACATGCCCCTTCCTCCCTCTGCAGCCCACCTTTGCCTTCCTGTCTCCATCTGCTGGGGTCCCATCCATACTCCAACGGGGCCGTTAATGGATTTATGGCTGGAATACAAGACAGGGCAGAGTATTGCAGTGAGCTGGGATCGATTAATCACACCTGTCAAGGTATCCCAGGCTGCAGTTGCGCAATTTGCTCTTAAAATCGCTGGCAGGAGGCAGACTCCGTGCCTTTTGCCTCATCCTTAGGAATGGTGTAAAGATTCACTTAGTGACCGGTCAAAGGTACAACGGCACTGAAAAAGGTGACTTTTCACCGTTTCTCCCCCACTTTTGGGACCGTTGCGGCGTCCCCAAGGGTCACGTGATCCAAATTCAGACGCTTGGCAACTGACTCGGATTTATGACCGTCGTCGTGTCCCAAGGTCATGTGATCACCATGTCTAAGCTTCCCAGCCTGCTTCCCTCAAGCAAAGTCAAATGGGGAGGGGGGGTGGAAAGCCAGTCATAAAATGAAGAGAAGGACGAGGGCGGACATGAGAGCAGCGTTCCAGTATCTCAGGGGCTGCCCCAAAGAAGAGGGAGTCAAGCTATTCTCCAAAGAACCTGAAGGCAGGACAAGAAGCAATGGATGGAAACTGATCAAGGAGAGAAGCAATCTGGAACTAAGGAGAAACTTCCTGACAGTGAGAACAATTAACCAGTGGAACAACCTGCCTCCAGAAGCGGTGAATGCTCCAACACTGGAAGTTTTTAAGAAGAGACTGGACAGCCATTTGTCTGAAATGGTATAGGGTTTCCTGCCTGAGCAGGGGGTTGGACTAGATGACCTCCAAGATCCCTTCCAACTCTGTTATTCTGTTACTCAAACAAAGAGAAAGATGGAGAGACGTGATAGCAGCGTTCCCATATCTCAGGGGCTGCCCCAAAGAAGAGGGAGTCAAGCCATCCTCCAAAGCGCCTGAAGGCAGGACAAGAAGCAATGGATGGAAACGAATCAAGGAGAGAAGCAACCTGGAACTAAGGAGAAACTTCCTGACAGTTGGAACAATTAACCAGTGGAACCACCTGCCTCCAGAAGCGGTGAATGCGCCAACACTGGAAGTTTTAATGAAGAAACTACACAGCCATTTGTCTGAAATGGTATAGTTTTCTGCCTGAGCAGGGGGTTGGACTAGATGACCTCCAAGGTCCCTTCCAACTATTATTATTATTATTATTATTATTATTATTATTATTATTATTATTATTATTATTATTATCATCATCATCATCATCATCATCATCATCATCATCATCATAATCATTATTTAGTCGAGGACTACCTGCATGTTTTTCTCCTTCCTCTTCTGCGCTCTGCTTACTCTGAAAGGGACTAAGCAGGCTGCCTATGGCTGGATGCTGGAGAGCAGGATCTCTGTTTAATCCATTTTATTTGGTATGCAGCGGGACGGACAGCTATTTTTCCAGACCAGGATTGCAAAAAATGATCTTAAAAAAGAGGACACGAGAGGAAGGGAGATTGGAGTAAAAAAAATAAAATAAATGGGAGAAGGAAGTTTAAATCTTGCAATCTTGTTCAGCGCAGGAAAGAAAAATTGGTGTTTCTTGGTTTATCCGGCACCAAAAGGCAAGACAAGAAACGACAGATGGGAAAAATAACCAAGGAGAGAAGCAACCTAGAACTAAGGAGAAAATGCCTAACGGTTAGAGCAATTCACCAGTGGAACGGCTTTGCCGTCAGAAGTTGTGGGTGCTCCCAACATTGGAGGTTTTCAAGAAGAGACTGGGCAACCCTTGGTCTGACATGGGATAGGTCTCCTGCTTGAGCAGGGGGTTGGGTTAGATGACCTCCAAGGTCCCTTCCAACTCTGTTATTCTATGTTCTACAC